GGAGCGCAAAAATGACCCATTGATTCAAATTGTTTCAAAATTTTCGATCCAACGAGTTGTCGTACAATCAAGCCATTCAACGATCCCCAGTTCACCATAAAATTCATCTTCAATTTGTGTTCATTTCAGGAAGGCGACAAAAAGGAAGGTGACGACAAAAAAGATGATGTATGAGCCTTAGAGAATTGTTTTCATTGTTATGACAATTTTCTCACTGAAGTTAAACATGTTACTCGGAATTACTCGGAATTTTACTCGGAATTTTTACTCGGAATTTTCTACCAGTGCGACTCATTTTCTAGCAATGCAAAGTTCCAGGAGACATTGACAACTGATTTTTCGGAACATATTGTCAGATAAGTAAAAAAAGCCAGTAGATTGTCAAATCTCAAACAAAGTGCTACGAAAACCATTGTTTGATTGATCTGTTGATCAAAATTGATCCTTGTTCAAATGATTTGTGTCCCTTGATTGCAGGAGAAAGAGAAAGAGGGTGACGATAAAAAAGACGAGTGAAGAGAAGCTAATCGTCGCGATGAACACGATCACTGATCATATATTGTCACAATACTTATCACGTTGTCATGCATGCTTATCATCATGTTTGTATTCAACAAGTCCAATGCAAAACCATATGTTTTTGTTTGATCATCGATCGAATCACAGTAAAATGAGCGTCGATCTTGACCAAAATACGAACTTTCGGAAAAAACGTTGCTTCATTACGTTTGTGTATAGCCTAAGAACCATGATTTTGTACCATATGTGTGTGTCAAGAGATCAACGCAGTCTCTGCATAGTGCAATACGACGATCGACCTACAGCCTGTTAGGCTTTCCGAATTTGAAGTTCTTGAAGATATCGAGTAAAGACAGGGAAGGGCTATTACAAGTAAACATGCGAGTAGTTCTGAGCTAGTCCGAGCTGATATAGCGTAATCTTTCAGCCGGTGTTTAGAGGTACATTTAAGTAGTCTTGCACACACCGCTTTAATTAACAATTGATCGATCCCTATCAAATGTGACCAGTGGGGAATTTCACTCCTATCGACAGTACAAATTTCTCGCCCTTCCATGAATCGCTAAACCCATTCGGACTGAGGATTCAAAAATAATTTCTACGTGCAAGAAGAATAAAAACATTTCATTCGCAATCTTCATTTCTTCATATATCCTGCAACATTTAAATTTCTGAGCCACGTAGTAACCACAATGACATTAGAGTAGTGGAGGATGTGGACTTGAAATCCAATGGGTTCTACTCGCGTAGGTTCGAATCCTGCACAATGCGCAATTTTTTATCGAGGACAGCCGTCTCTTAATCACACGAAAACTTCGTATAATACTGAAAACCATCGATAACAGCAGAACATTCGCATCGAGGTTAAGGAGTTCAACTGGAAATCAGATTGACTCTGCCCGCATGGGTTCGAACCCTGCTCTTTGCGTCAATTTTGTGAGACAATTCGCTTTTCGCTCAGGATTTCCAGTGTCACCGTAAAGCCATAGATAATAAGAAAATTACCGCAGCGGTGAGGTCTAATGGGTTCTAACAGGTTCGAATCTTACTCGCTGCATAATATTTTATTCAAGAGAGCCGTCACTTAATCATACGAGAACTTAATCATACGAGAATGTTACTTAATCATGCAGAAAAGTCGTCAATAATACCAAAACAATAGCAGTGATGTGTGACTGTTAAAGAGGTGGACTAAAAATTAGCTGAGCTTTGCTTAAATAGCTCGAAACTGTGTTCATTGCACCACTTCTTTCAATAAAACATTTTATTCTCACTCCAACTGCAAGCATTCACTACAACTAAAGGTTGATTGCTAAAATTTCTACCACACTTTTCATTAAAATTACAATTGAATCTGTCTTAAATTATTTTGGCAGATCAAGGAGCTAAACTGAAATGGATTTTTGACAATTCCATGAGATCCAGCGAATACACCGAAAAAATATTTTCTACGGGTCGTTTCAGTTTGCACAGACAAGCAAAATGCTCACAATCGGTTATCATCGAGTGCCTTAATTTATTTATTTGTTTACTTAATCGGCAAATCCAACTCATTATGGGTTTATGCCTCTCTGTTATCACCAATATCATTGATATCACTATATCACCAATATCACATTCTCCCTTCGTTGGTATTCTTCTTTCCNCGCACCTAACGATAATCATCTGTCAATCTGTCTCCATGAAATATGAGAGAGTAGCCTGAAACCTCAGTGCCTGGCATAAAGTGCACAGTTCTGCATATTCATCATGAAAATTAGCATATTATCAATCATATATATGAGACTGGTGAACACTCTATTGCTATTGTTGATAGCGCTGACGACGTGATCGGCCTGCGACTGTTGTCAAGTTGGTTTGTTTAACTGATCTGATATGATAAGCGACGATTTAACCAAGTGTGAAACTAAGGGTTGATGGGAGCGATGATCCATTTAGAAGGATTAAAAGCCTGGATTTTTGTACTTATTCATGAATTTGGTTCGGAGGAGGACACTGGTTCAGTCACGCTTTCGAAACGAACTGAAAGGCTTTTTCATTTTCAAAAGTCGGCATTCTTGTTCATAGAAGCTGATCTCAAATGATCAAACGGTATTGTTGCACGTCTAAGAAGAGTACATGTTTTAGAGATTATGCTAACGAAATGCTGGACACAATTGATCCAATAAAGACATTAGCCAATTCAATTATCGCTATACTACTCGCATTGACTACTGCTATTTTAATCGATTTTGGATGCTGTTGCTCAGGAAAGGTATATAATATGCTAGCCGAAAAAGTCCTTGGGTAGGAAAACACCACAAATATTCGACATCAATTCTGATATGAAACATGGAATATTTGTAATATATCATTTAAAAGAGTCGCTAATGTCACGTTAGGTGATATGTTGTTATATCATTGTTTTGTACATATTCAGAAGAAGGACGAGGCAGATACACCTGCACAAGACGGCTCTCCAGCAGGACCTGAAGCCAAAAATCCCGTGAATGCTCCGGGTGGCACTCCGGCTGCCGCTCCGGCTGCCGCAGACGCTAATGCACCTAAGCCACCTACACAAGGTGGAATCGCG